AACTCGTCCCACGTACTTCTGAATCAGGCCAGCCTGGAGATGCATGCTGTACAGAGACAGATTCAAGCAAGTACAACATGGCACAGAATGGAAAGCAGCACACAGCACCAAAGGCATCGATTTCATAGTGCACACTATGCACTGCAGAACTAGCCGTGTACGCGTACAATTAACCCACTTTGTTGACGATGAAAATTTCGACGAAGAAGTTAAATATTATTGTCCAGAATTGTTCTTTAGATCGCAGGTTGCAAAGGAAGAGCCAAAGCTAATTTAATAAGCAAGTTGTCTCTGTTGTCACTGCCTAACTCCGCAGTTTCATGTTCTTGCATAGTACTATTAACAAGGCGCCCAACGAGTGTGGAATTTTACTCAAATCCTAAATTCACATATCAATCACCCCGGAAAAACGTAAAGGGCACAGGAGGGGCTTCTTCATTAGGGAAGACTTGTGCAATGGAATTACTGTTTACACCACACCCACAGCATCTGCTATGTGTGAATCTCACTTCGATGGTGCACAGCACGCCCAGTCCCTAGACTATGTACAAAAGCTAAAGTGCTGTACAGGTCTTCTCTTGCCTGCAAACCGACACACCCTCGGGAAATTTTAAGTTGAGGGTTCGTGCAGTTTCTGTACATAGCATGTGGCGAATACTGCGAAGGTCCTTAATTGGTCCATTTGACCAGCGAGCTAACGCAGCAAATACACAAGAACTGTTTTCCGTCACCAAAACGTGTAAGTGTAGTACCCGATTGTCGTAGATGTTTGGAAAGCAGTAAGTCGACTCGATAGGACTCTTGGGACTCTCTTGAAAGGCAGACATAACTGCGAGTCCCGCTCTTGAAACGGTCGTTCTTCGTCCCTGTAGCATCCTGGATAGGGTTCCAATGGAGCCACTACTTGCCTCTGGCATGCTCTCTCCTCCTTTCACACTGTGCTGGCCTGTCGAAAACCAGTGAGACCCATCTGGCCTAGGGGTGTAGTGCCCACAGTCTCCACCATGCACATGGGTAAAATCATATCTATTCTTTCTTGAACTCGAACGGTGTAGGGAATTGTGGAGCAGATCTGGACGCTGAAATCACGTAGAGGGCAAAAAAGCACAGATACTGCTAGATGCTGCAGTTGTAAGAGGCGCACACTGCGCAGCGTAAAAAGATGCATTCGCTCTCGTAGTATAATGCCTAGAGCCTTCACTGTGTACCTGAAGACCACATCGGCGTTCTCCCCTAAGGCTCAAACAGCACTAAAATTATTGGATGGGCCCTTTCCCTGACTCGAGATTCTGCAGGGAATACAACATCTGTGCATGGATTGATGCTTGCACAAGTGTTGCAAGCTACTGCATGCAAGAATTCACAGCCTCACCTTGTAAGAAAGTCTTCTGAAAGGAGAACCCGAATGTTGAATTTTCTCGAGATAAAACGCGCAGTGAGCGAGGAGGACCACAAGGGCACTCACCACAACAAGGGTCGCGAATAGATCAAATTTTTTCTCCAGGGCTCGCTCAGCTGAACCTTACGTAGGCTATGCAGCCAAGCAGAGCCGTACAAGGCCAAATGGGCTGCGACCCCTTCAGGTACCTCCGGTTCTACAGAAAACACCATTGCAGACATGGTGCAACATGCAGGTCGCAAACCTGGCAGAGAAGAGCTGCGCAGAATGTGGAACGCGAGGGAGAACCGGTACAAAAACAAATGGCACAGGGAGACAAGACTACATTAAAACGTAACGGACTTAATTTCGTGAAGGAGAGCGAAGGCATTTGAGCTAGTCGATGAGTGTGGGATTGCTGGGCTCTTGATTCACAAAAATCACAGCTGAGTCACTGCGGCCAACACGGAACTCGAAGAGACGTTGTTCGAAACTAGGCCATTACCGAACAAGGAGAAGACAATGATCGAATTTAGGCCTGCTTTCACTGAATTGCTCAGAAATTAACGTTTCGTTCCAGGGGTCATGGCCAGCTCGACAGCTGGAACAAGCCATACCTAACGACTATACGAACCTTTTTAGGCGAAAACTAAACTAAATAGCTCAAATGCCCTTTAACTGCTTACAGCTCGTCTTCCCTTCCTTGCACAGATACCAGTAGTGTCTGGTCACTCACTGGCACAGCCTCGATGTGATAGGCCAGGAAGGACACACAATGTGTTCGACGGAAAGGCCTACTGCGCTTCTTCTGACTCGAGTCTTACAACTTATGACTCATAAATTTTTGCTGCAATGAATATGTACTTTGTTGCTTGTCACTGCCCACAATTTTGTCCAGTGCATAAGGCAAGCCGACTGTGTTCTGATTAATAGAAGCACAGAAACGGTCTACGCCGCGGATTCTTCCGCCTGTTTAGGCTTTCCACTCACAGTATATAGCATTTCACCTTACATACAGATCATTATGCTCTTGTGTGACTAAATGTTTACAATTTGAGGAGTGGGAAATGCATTGAAACTATTGGGAGAGCTGACACTCTTTGCAGCTTCAAGGTATCTTGCGGTTTTCCAACTAAGCACTGATTTACACCAAGTCGTTTGTTCTCATGTATCAAAAAATTTTGTGAATGCTGAGAACGCATATATTGGCGGTTCAGTACTCCTTCTGGGGCTAGATCTAAGATTGGGCGTTCTGTTCCAAAATGGATTCCTTTTCATTGTATCTTGAACGCAGTTCATCGCTCTGTTTCTGCCGTTAAGCAATTTCACTAGCCATAGTTCTCCTTTGAGCGGATGAGTCGCGCTTCTGTTGTGCCCAATTGTGCATCTTTACCTTCTGTTCAAACATCATCTTACTTCCGTGTCTTGTTCAAATGCATAATAATCACAGAAGGCGCCATTTGGACACTACAGAGCCTCGTGGCCTAAGCTGAGTACACTGCGGGAGTTGATCTCGTTGCGCTACAGGCCACACGCCTTAAATGCCTTGTTGCTGGTTTGGGCTGGTGGACGGTGCAGCGACCCAAGCTTGATAAAGCTTGCTTTATAGCCTCTAGAGTGCACTACGGTAGCTACCGAAGGCTACGGTCAGTCTTCAGGACACAAAGGGTGAGTACTCCCAAGAGAGCCAGTGCCGGAACCACCAAAGAGCATCCTCAGGGGTAGAAAAAAGACTTGTAATATATTTGTGTGCATATGAAGTGCGTAAACTTATGGTGCCTGCCTCTTCCTACAGAACTGTAGGGCAGCCCCCATTGTTCAAGCCAGAAAGAGCCAGTATGCGCTTTAGCCGCTGCAGCAGCAAGCTAAGATAAACCGAATTTGCACTTGCCTTCCGGGGGAGATGCTTCCCCTAGCCTTTCACTGTTGCTCTCCCTTCTGATGTTTCACTTATATGGTGGGTGTAGAATTGTCTCGGCTTTCTCCACCATCATGCCTAGCACCTATGTAGCAAGCAGGCCATGGGCCTGCTCTGGAGGACTGCTGGGTTGTGCAGCACCTGGCCATCTTCCTTTTCCATATTTATAGTGCTAACAGCTAGTAATTTGTATTATGCATCATATGTATGGTTGCTTAGCTTGTATGTTTGATCATTCCAGGCCACCTTACGGCACGTCGGCCAATCCAGTCCAAAAACCAAATCGTCGACTTGCACAGGACACATTCACGCCCTCAACACATAGTATATGCTTAGCGAATACACCATCGGCATGCAACCGTTCTTATAGCATTAGCATTCGCCTTGGCCTGCAATATCGGGCTCCCACCTTTTATCTATTGGAGTGAAACCCTTAGTCTTCTCTTCAGTCGGGGGGGTTCACTTTGCGGGGGATACTAGGCTCTTCACCCCATTGTAGCCTCTACATTCAAAGAAAGCACTGCATTTTCGCGCTACAATGTTGCGAATGCGCACGATGTTCCACAGGCATGGTGGACACAATGGAAACGAAGTGGTGAGGTCAAATGCAAACTCTCCTCAGAAAGAACTTGTGGCAGCATAAGCTAAATGCTCATTTTTCCGTTACGTTCAGTGGTCTCTTTCCTCAATGTGGGGTCAACACCCTGTCAAGAAAGACCGCATCTAGAACAAAAAAGGCAATCTGGGAGTTCCCCCAGTAGTACTAACTTCTGGCACACACCGTCAAACCAGTGGACCCAAACTCCAAACGACTGAACTAATGTCCTACACGCTGCGAAACCTGTGAAGGCGCTACACCATCAGGCTGTAGAGTTCAGATTCCTAGCGCCGCAGATTTAACGCAAAACCCATCACGCGAAGGAAACAGTTCTCCCAGACAGGTCTTTCTCTGCCGCTCAGTTCGCTGCCACGTCTCATCCGGATCTCCAGATGATGTATAGAGAATCCTAGGAGCTTTCCGTGTAGGCAGGAGGGCGTCTCGCTGCAGAAAAATGGCAGTTGAAGGAACCTTTTCGAATTTCAGCGTGGAAAGGTAAAATTCCAATGTTTTCATGAAAAGGTCTACCCAGCTCTTGCCTAGCTCTCTGCGCTTCTAGTTTACGTCTCGCCTAAAGCGTCCTCTATCTTCCGTTTCTCAAGTTAAAAGCAGCAAATGCGTTGGAAATAAACAGAAATATGCGAAAAGAGCTTGCCTGTGATCGTGATTACTGTTCGTCCAAGTAAACTATCTCCACGGCTAGAGCTGATTTCAATTGTACGCGTAGATTGGCGCTGTGCTGTGGACACAAAAATCAGGACATGCATAAGCACTCCAAAGATGTTGGCAAGCATCCACCTGCCGCCACTGCCATGCTTCGCCGCGAGCTCTGCACAAGGGAAAATGCAACGTAGGGGAGGGAGCTGGCGGCGCTGGGCAACTATCAGCTTCTTGTCTAAAGTAATTTGCCTTACATTGATCCTCCACTAGTGATGCGGCTGTGCCAAGGACGCAGGACTCCAAAGATTCTGCAAACTGTTGTAGGGCCTGCGGAGGGGACAACAGAAATGCTGAACCATTGAGACTAAGAGTATGCTTCCAAGCCTGCGGAGAAAGGAAGCAATGACCGCAGTGTAACAGCAGAGGAGCTTGTATTATTCACGCAGTTATGTTTCTCTGAATGGGACGTACACCCGCATTTGGCCAGCCTTCGTGAGGACTCTGTACAAAGAAACATACAAACAGGCACGAGGAACCTTACCTGAAACGCGCCGTTTCGTAATTCATTAAACTGAGATCCCTACGCACTGGGAAACCTGAATATGGTAGCCTTACCTCTTGGAAAATATTAAAAGTATAATGTAAGCCCATAAGTACTGCACCGAATTCCTCTGAGGATCCACAGTGCTCAAGCATTGCAGGTGCCATCTTCATCAATGTTTGTTCTGAAGTTTGTCTTTACATTAATTTAGCAGTGGCGGTATCATGTTTTTCTTACTTTCGGAATGGACGAAGAAAGAGTATTGAGCGCCACTAAAAGTGCTTCAAGATGGACCTTTCAACTGGAAAGACGGCACGTTTGACAATCTTTAGCTAGTTGTACAGGGATATCCGTTCTTTACGAATTACATGCAGTCCCTGTGCTGAGCAAAACTCACTTGGCCCTTGAGGAGGAACTTCACTCGGCATATCTTCGAGATATTGTACGAGACTCTGTAGGAAGCTCGCTGCCTGCACACCGGCGAAAAGACAGCCACCACTGCAATGAAAGGTGTATGCGCCGATTTTAAATGCCAGGCGTAGCGGTCGGGCAGCGGCACCTGTCCACCACACCTGACTACAAGAAAACAATAGGAAAAGACGAAAACAATCTGGGGCCTCTAGTTCTTAGCCTTGGCGAAAGAATTACCCATGCATCGCCCAGCCGTGGAAAACCGAAGCGCTCTTGTCGCGGTGGATCACGCAGTTGGGCTCCCTGGTTCCCACGATTCTCCGCGAAAATCGTAGTGAGAGCGCGATGTGCACTTTTCCACAGTCTTCTCAATCTATTTCTCCTCCTTGGTAACCTTTGAGTGGACTCATTATTTGCTCCCGCTGTCGCGGGCTGGCTTCTCCTAGCTTGTCCATCAATGCGTTGGGCCATATTGCAGCATGCTTCTTCATATGAAGGCAGTCCTGCCGGCCTCAGTCCCGTACGTTGAATTCTAGCTGCTTGCTCACAGCCACTGCTACCTGGGGGTGACTGGCTGCACGCTTCTTCATATGAGGGCAAGCGATCTCCTTCCCCTCCTTCAGTCTCCTCATCAGCAACGCTAATTGCGTGCTGATGGGTGCACGCTTCTTCATATGACGGCAGATGAAATTCCGGGTCGCTTGACGGCGAAGAGGTGGAGGGCTCACTCGAGTCGTGAGAACGCAAGTGCTAGTGAAGGAAAAGGCGCACATATCCAGTGCAGGCTGGCTCATTCACAAGATGCACATTGACGTGTTGGGATAATATGAGGAACGTGGTGGCGGCAAAATGTTAAAAACACATTCTTTGTTGCTCGAAAAACTGAAAGGGACAGAGTACGCAAATCTTTGCCTGTGCACAGGAAAAACTTCTGTCGTCAACACGTGCACCTTGCAGGAGCCTTACATGGTCAGAGAGCCTCCTGGAGGCAATTCCTGAGCGTTTTTTATTCTCAATGTGAAGGGCACAGCGAGCAATAAGGAGTGCAAGGGCGCCCAGGAGCACCAGGGAGGAAAGGACGCGGACAGCCAGTGTCTTTGCCTCCCGCTGTTTCTTTTTGGCTCTACGCAGAGTACCAGAATCCGGCAGGGCTGACTCAATTAAGGCGTTATCCGAAGCGTAGAGCATCTCAGCGAGTATCGCTCCAGTCATTTTGAAGCAAGAAGCTTGACCCACCAGCGCACTGAAGAGGCCGTCATAAAAAAAGATGCACAGTGAAATATTGCAGATGAGAGAGTGGTAAAGAGGTAAGGCTGTAATAAGCAGTCAATTGGACCATAATGGTGCGAGGAAGTGATAAGTTCCTTGTAGGAGGGGTTGATCCGGGAACTATTGGGAGCCGATCATGGGCAATAGCAAGGTAAAAACGAGATTCCCTTCAATCCATCCGCCCTTAATTTGAAAAAAACTCGACGCCGTTTAAGTTAGACAGTTATATAATGCCTGCTTAAGATCATGTTACCCACCTTGAGGTCTGGTTTTGGCTGGTGCCCTGATCCAGTGGAGGCGATCACCAGTCCCTTCACTCTAGAATTATCATCGGCCCCACATACAAAGCCCCCATATTCAAGCTAAAACGAATCATTTTATTGGATGGCCAAGGCTTTGTGGCAAATGCTCGCAAATGCTGGAGTTTGTAACCAGTCTAACTATAATTTTAGATGAAAAAAGGCCCCCTGCCTCTGTTGCTGTGTCCTGCTGACGCTTGAATGAATGTTGGTTCTAGGTGTAATTCCACCAAATCAAGAACCAACGCTGCTCTCTTGTTCAAACACGCATTTTTGCGCTTTTGAATTGCCTTGTATTTGATTTCTTTGTTATTTTCTCTTGTATGTGTTTCCCCAGTGAAGCCTATCGCTTGAGGTAAAGACGCCTCCCAGCAAGTTAAATGGCTGCTAGGAAGTCCACCGTTGGCCTTTGCAACTGACTGCAATCGGGCCAACGTAAAGCTGCTCTGCATGCCAGAGGATACAGAAAGTGAGAAACAAGTTGACACAACAGACATTAACTCGATCCCATTTTTCCCCCTTGAAGCCGTACCTAACATCCTTCAAAGCGTCTCAATTTTTGATTGTCAAGGTATTCTCTTCATATTACACATATAAAGCTGTTTAATGGCTCCCCCGGATATAGAGCATGATCCCAGACACTACGACAAGGCAACCGCTCAGTTGATGAGCTTTGCTGCCAACTGAAACTGTGGGCAAATTTGTAAGTTTACCTCAGTAGATTACTTTAAGCAAGGAATGGGATCTTTGCATTTAGACTCATGCGCTTAGAAAAGCGTTTAGAACGCTTCGTTGTCCCCTGGCATGAAGAAATCTGGAAACCAGTAAAACCTAGATGATGATGGCAATGCAGCACCAGGCCTAAGCCGTAGATCATTAATTAACTAGACGCCAGCTAATTGAAAAGATAGGGGAGGGAGGATCTGCCTTTTCTTTTCATTTCGAGGACAATCATTGAAATTTCGTACACATTTCAATCGCTGTACCGCTCAAGTCAATTGTTAAAGCATCGATTGATGGTGTAAGCTGAAGTACCAAAGAGAAAAAGCCTAACACTTGTGTAGTAGAGCCAGAGAATGGCCAGTATTCATGCTTTCCTTAACTCCGTCGTTCAAACGTGGCTAATTCGAACATTGAAACAGGTCCACAGCTGCTTATCCTGCTCCCACGCTTCACTGGTTTCGGGAGACTAAAACTGGTGTCGAATCTTCTTGCTGTGTCCGGACAGTGGAACATTGTTAACGCGTTTTGCACCTCGTGTACCCGCTACTATGCCCGAAGGTGCAAATGTTATGCCGTCTTTGCCAAATTTTGACAGTTGGAAAACGAGAAGAATAATGCAATTCTAAGGCAGGGCAGCATTGCAGCTGGCTGGGCGAATTGACACGCTCGCGAGTTTGAGTACAGATGCATTCATCGTGAGTACCTTATCAAAGAAACTCACCTTCCTTGGCCTCTAGAGAGTCACTTCCATGAGATTTTGTGCTTCATAATCGTTGTCCTTCAATTCTTGAGCCCTTGGACCACGCCGGCCCCTCCTCACAGGTGGGGAAGCAGGTAGAAACTGGAGTGATTCCTTTTCTCCAATGCTTCAATCCAAACAAAAGTCTCCGCTGAACAAAAATACCCGCTGGACAAAAATATTCGCAAAACAAATCACGTTCGTTCACTACATAGAAAGACCATTGACAACAGCAAATGTATTGTATGGAACTGCTGCACGGAGCATGCGTTTTGTGGCTTTGATGCTGCTAGCTCAAAGCAGTGGAAGGGATGCCAAAACAAAGCTTTGAGATGGGGATTTCGTCGAAGCTCTTGCCTTCTCTGCACAGCCAAGCTTGCTCTTCCCGAACAGACGGTCACCGCTACCAGATAATACACTGTTTACTCTCTTGTGTGGACTGCGAGGAGTGTTCTCAAGCGCATTGATATTTTCCAACAGGTTTAATCTGTTCTTCACAATGAAGGATGAAGTCACCTGGTTACTGACTGGAGGATGCTTCCGCAGGAACTGTGATGAAATGGGCCAGAGACACGGCCGCGCAGTTCTCCTCCTTGATGCTTTCGTCTTGGTTGCTTTTGGTTTATCCGTACCCACTGAAGCCCCAGATAATGCGCAAAACTATCTAACTGCCTCTGTCGAGGCGCGGAGCACGACATACTGCGCAGCTGCAGCAATTAAAGAAGTCGCTGGATATTTTGGCACAACAAATAGTACCACCCCTAAAAAAAGTGAAGAGTCCTTTCCTCATCCTTGGAATTTCCTGGATGAGTTCTTCCTCTTGGAATATCTTGGATGTGTTCTTCCTCTTTCTTAGCTGTTTCTGTCTCCGTTTTATTCAGGTAAACTGACCGCCTTTCTCTTCGAAGCTCCTTGAAAATGCCCTTGCCATCTGCAGAGGTTTTACTACACACTCTAAAAATTTAGGATTCCTGCTATGTGACGAACGCAGATTACAGACCTGTGTTCAGCTATGTACGCAAATACAGGAAACAACAAAGCAGGCGTATTAAACGGCCAAATTGGACATCAAAATGCCAAGTACCCAATCCTTCCAGCCTGTTCCGCAGCATTCAATGAATATATTAGGCAGCCCAGAGCGCTTAGTAAGATAAGGCAAAAATGGCGACCTAATGGCATGCGGCAATTGCCATAAAGGTTTTGGCTTACACGAAGATTCATATAAGTATTTCAACTGATTAGGCGGGGAGCGTTCTCAAGTTCACTGGGAATCCTCATACGGTCTGCGGGGAGCAAACAAACGGGACAGCGTTGCATAAGTTAAGGCTGCATCGCCGGCTGCGGCATGAAATAGTGCAAAGATCAAAACTGGTTACATAGAATTCGGCACCACGCGCTTTCGGATCAGGCCAGCCTGGAACTGCATGCTGGACAGAAACAGATCCAAACTAGCACGAGAAACCACAGAATGCACCACGTAGGACCAAAGGCATCGTTTCATAGAGCACGCGATGCACTGCAGAGCTAGTCGTGTGTGCGCACAATTGACAAACCTTTCCAACAATGAAAGTGCCGAGGAAGAAGCCAAATATTCTTTTATATCCACTAGGATCTCGCTCATATGCCACTGACGTGGTTTCTTAGCTTGTCAGGCTGGACATTTCATTTCACGGAACGCCATGTAAGCCTGTCGAGTACTTGAGCTAAACCTTCGTATGGATTAAAACAATCATCGTCTTTGATTTCAAATATTAAGCTTACATAGCACAATGATGATATTTTCTCAGTGTTGATGAGGAGCTTCAGAGAAGTGCTTGTATGGCTTTCTTTTGCCAAAAAGGCGAGCGAGCAAAGGTGCAAGAAGCTGCAGTGAAGTGCGAAAAGTCGGTGGATAAGGCCAACTGAACAAAGATAAACAAAGTGGCTACTGTAATAGATAGAAATGACGGATCCCCCAGGGTGACTAGACCATACACTCAGTTGAAAAGTTTAGTCTGCTGCTACCACCTACATAGTGCACGCAGAGGTGTTAGGTAGGTAGCGTAGACAGAGCTTACATCTTGACACAAAAAGAGGGATGCGGCTCCATGCTTTTTCATTCAGACACAGTTTACAGATGTGCGCTTGTCACAAATTGCAAATAGGGTTGCGCCCTTATTAGCTGATCTAGCGTAACACGTGGGTGCTTTGCTGGAGTTAGTCAACTACTCCTGGTCGGCTTATTTTCAGACAGTGTTACGTCTTCATCAGCAGTCAGCTGTGTAAAGCTTGTAGATCTTGCATCCAGGACAGAGTGAATACGGGGCTAGGCATCAAAAGGGTTAGACACTCATTTACGGCTATCCTAGTCACTGTATTATTGTTTAGACACTGAGACACAAGATTGAGATTTTTCTGGAATGCGCAGTCGTTCTTGCACAACCATCAGCAGCGCTGTTGTCGAAATGGTGTTTTGTATACTCCTAATTGTATACTCCTAATTTCCATTCAGCCTACGCCAACAGGATAATAGGGTCTTTGACCCTGTAGGCTACATCTTGCTGAGGCTCATAGACGCTGCACATTTGGGGAAGCGGCAAGTTTATTGCTTGCTGCGCAGGGCAGCATGATGTTAATGTTTGGTGTACCCAAGCTTCTGGCCCTGTAGGTTGCTTCGCGCCACGATGAGACGCCTGGAATCCACACATCCGGGAGAGAACCAAATTTATGGAGTTCGCTACGTCGGGCAGCACACGATTCACGGCTAGGCGATGCCCGTAACATTTTGCACCCCAAACCTCTGGCTTGGAAGAACAATCTTGCTCGACAACACTGCGGCCACCAGGGGCTGATATGATTGGAAGAATGTCCAGAAATATGTTGTCTTACTCTACGCAGCAAGGCGAAGATGGAAAAGCTCAATTTTAAGGAGAGAGGTATTCCACTCGCGAGTCGTAGACAAGATCTCTCAGCCATGTAAAGGTTCACTGAGTGAGAACCAACGCAGCACTGCGTAGTACTGGCCATCAGCCTCACTACAACTGCTTGTCGAGAATAACACAAGGAAACCGAGAAGTCCCAGCATATTTGTTCCACAGTGCCACCTCCACCGAAGTTGACTAAGTTTCAATTTATGCTCGCTTGGAGGTTCTTGGTGGGAGCAGAGTTGCTGACAGTGGCGTGTTTGTCTGCATTCTGCTTTTATTCTCTGCTTCTAGAATCAACTGCATATAAATTTGGTAATGTTATGGGAGAACACCCAGCAATGAATTGATGCGTGAGTGAGAAGCGTTGATACTGCGGAGCCGTGGCATGGATTCCTGGTGACCGAAGCTGGTGGCAGAAATGCACTGAGTGCTCCTTCTTCTAAGTGCTGTGCCGAAGGTAGACAAAGGGCTTTGAAAAAGCAAAAGAATAATTAATCTGCCGATACCAGTTATCGGCAAAGGGCATGCGGGGCCTGTCGCGACCACGAAGGGGTCCAGCGTGTGCGTCCACCAGTAAGCGGTCTGTCTTCGGCATTTTGTTCATTATTCTTCTACCTAAACTACTGAGTATCGACAAATCCAAGGAGGCGACAAAGGAGCTCTGGGGAAGACAGAAGTCACAGCAGACCGCGTACTGCCAGTGCCGCCAGTTGTTGCCTTGCCGAGCAGCCGCAGCTTGCGCTCATCAGGCGAGACGTCAAAATCACAAGCCTCGAGCCCTTTTTGGCATTTCTGAATTGAGATGTTCCAGGGCTTCCGTGAGGTGCAAGTGACAGCAACTGGAACTGGGGCGGCAACACTAGCAGCAGTGGCAACTCAGCAACAAACTCTCGCGGTTGGAGAAGCACAAGCGTCGCGGTGAAGGAACAGTAAACTGATGTGTGGCTGTCCATGACCAGGAAGCGCAGATCGTACCGTTAGCGGCAGCCGCATCAGGGGCAGAAGCGGCACACCAGCAGCACTCAGCAAGCCCGATGCCATAGGATGGACTAGATGAATACACTTGTAGAGCAGGTTCTGGCGCGGTGCAGCTGGAGTGGCGAGTGTTTCTTACACCGCAACTAGGTTGTACACATAGTTGAAATTGTCCCGGCAAGACGTCCGGGGCTCCGCTTGTCGGTGTTCACCTTAAGATATCAAAGAACTCAGGCACTACGGCAAAATGTACTTCCTTGTCAAATGGCTTTGTGTCGCCATTGTTCGCTCCTTCTTCAAGGAGGTTGCGGTCATTTACAAAGAAAGAATCCCTCTCTATGGCCCCGTAAGCAGACGAAACATCCAGAGAAGGCAACCAGTGCATGTTTGGCTCCGCTTTGTCTCTCCGCCTTCCTCTCCGCCCTCAGTGTCTGTTTTCCTCTGTTCGGGCTTCTCCCTTTCCTTTGTCTGTCTGACTATGTGTATCATCTGGCTTGTCAGCGTCTGAAATCTTTCACCGCCCTATATATCTGCGTCATTGGCTGTACCTATTTCTTCACTACCCATGTACCGGCTCATATTCTGTTTCATGCAGCTGCTGCGGTGATTTGGTCCTCTGTAATACGATTTTAGGTTATTTTCGTCGGGAACCACAACAACCAATTTCTGGATGCATGTGTGAGCAACTTTCCCTTACACTTCTTTGAGGGTCCAAAGATAACAGGTTAAGCTTACGACCTGTTGATTCTGCAGATAGAAATGCATGGAAGTTAGGCTTAGCGGTTTTGGGATTAGCGTTTGTTGACAGAGCGATTTCCTTATTTGCTAGTTTCTTGCCCAGCCGTGATGGAGTGAGTTATCGGTGTCTTTCTCCTTGTCGCTGCTTCCAGCGCGCAGTCTGTCTTTTGTAGCGATGTGAGTATTATGGCTTGTTGGTGGTGATGGTGTTGGCTCGCTAGTGTGAGGACCATTCCTGTAATTACCGCCGTTATCTTGCTTGCTGCGTAGAGCCGGGAATTTAGGGATTATGTTTGTTGTTTGTGCGTTATATCAGATGCTGGTGTCCATAATACCTCGCCAAGTGCGTTTCCTCATTGCTACCAAATCCCTCAAGCGTCGCGTTGTTGGCTGCCTTGCCCGCATGGCCGCCTGTATAGGAGTGCGCAGAGGAGAAGATGAGAGCCGCAAGGGCTCGGGTTTAATCCAAATCATGGAGCACCCGACACCCACAAACTCTGGCCTGCGCGCTCATCAGCAGCCCCAGGAGGAGCAGGTGCCGCAGGGGCAGCAGCGGGAGAGGGAGCGGGAGCGGGAAGAAGGGGATGCAGGACAAGACGATAGGCACGCGCGTGGCAGCAGCTTCATTGGCAGTGGTGTCAACAATAACAGCAGCAGTACCAGCAACAGCGGCTGCAAGGGCAGTAGCGACTCTGTTGCAGGTGCTCGTGTCTCAGGGCTCTCCCTTTGTCGCAGTCTGTCTGCCTCTGTTCGGGGTGTGGGGTCTCAGTTTAGGAAAGAAGTGTTGCCAGGAGACACCTTGTTAACAGGCAAAGGAGCGTATCATGTCAAGGCCGTCTTCAGCGACACAGAGATGCTGGTTTCCCCAGACCCACAGCCGCTTCCCCCTTTCTCCTCCCTTCACCGCAACGACTCATGGAGCGTACAAAATGCATCCGCCAAGCACAGCTTCGGAGAGGGAGACGCAGCAGTCCACGCGGATGCTGCTGCGCCTACCTCACCCACAGCAGGAGCCGTTGCAGCAGCAACCATGGGGCCCGTCACGCCAGCACGACCTCTGGAGAGGAACGGACATCGTGTCGATGAAAAGGCAACAAAACCCAAAAAAGGGGACGACTCCATTGACGAAGTGCAGCTGGATCAGCAGCCAGAGCATCAGCGGGTAGAAACACGAGCTGAATCACCTTCAGTGACAGCGGCAGAGCCCCCGGAGAGCCATAAGCGTCAGCAAACTCATGAAAGTGACATTGCTGCTGCTGCAGCAGATGCAGCAGATGCTGCTGCAGCAGCTGACGCCGCAGCAGAAACGGCCGCGCGTGTTGCTGCTGCGCTAGCAGCAGATGCAGTTGCCGCTGCAGCTGAAGCTTCGGCTGCAGCCGATGCAGCGGCAGAAGCGGAGTATGCTGCTGCTGTAGCACAGGCAGCGCTGGATTCTGGGAGCAGGCGGGTGGAGCAGCAGCAGGAGAAGCGGAGAGACAGCATCGAACACCAGCAGCAACCGGATACTGGCCTGAGGAGACGTTTCTCTAGTCGCATGGCGAAAGACATGGCAGCTCACGAAGCTGCCTCAACAGCAGCAGCAGCAGCAGCCGCCGCCAGAGCTTCTCACGGGATATCATGCGGCACTTCTGCCGGCGCTGCTGCTGTTGCGGCGGCAGCCGCCGCTGCGGCAGAGGCAGAGCAGGCGGCACAGGTGGCAGAAGTTGCTGCTGCAGTTGCTTCAGCGGAAGCAGATGGGGAGGACGGCTTTGGGCCTCCAATGGAATACAGAGTATGCATACACACCCAACGGTGCAAACGATAAATCCCACTAGAGAGGATCTGAGGCTTCTGCTGAAGTAAAAGGACAAGTCATGAGGGAAATAGTTGTCATTTTCATGCCATCGTGTAAAGAGAAAGAGTAGGATGAGCAAAATTGCTGTGACCGATGATGCGCTTGCTTAATCGCTGCTTTGTATACCACTGCTGCGTGCTCAACATTCTTTGCCTTGTGCTGCATCTGCTGCCGCTGGCTCCGCAGATAGCCCCAAGAATAGATCAGTCAAAAGTGTATGAGGCAGTCACAGCGAGTTTGGTGGAAGGAGACACAATCGGCATTTTTCCAGAGGCAAGGAACACTGAGCGACGGTTTTGTCGCCCTCTCAATTTGTCCTTGTTCCTTATGGCTTCTCATTTGGAGGAATTTGCGCCTCCCTTTTCTTTGTATCGGCATCTCCTAAGTGTTGACTTCCAAGTTTCAGTCTCCGCTCACCTCCAAATCCTGCCTTTCCTTGTCTTCTCAGCAGTTGTTTATCACCACCGTACCAGCCATTGTCCCAGCCCGCTTCTTCTGGGTCTTCGTCTTTTGCAGGGAGGGAGCCACGACCGCACAACACTATTGCCTCTGAAGGCGGGGGTGGCCATTATGGCACTGACGGCAATGCAACACGGGGCTGAGGAGGTGTTGATTGTCCCCGTTGGCCTCACTTACCACAACCCCCACAAGATGCAGTCCAGGGCTAGTGTCCACATAGGCGACCCCGTGCCTGTCAGTTACGGTCACCGGCCTAAGGCCAACTCATTGGGTGCATTCGATCTTTCTTGGCGTGTTTGTCTAATCGCGTGTTGCGTTACCATTCTTGTGCCTACATCATGTATCCTACTTCGCACGGCCTCGCTTGTTTTCCGCCTCCATTTTAGTTTTTGTTCTAGCTGGAGCACTCTTTATGCTCTTTTTAGCTTTTTTGGTCTATCCGCTTAGGTTTGGTGCATGTGTCTTTTGGGACACTGTCTGCATGCCTGTCTGCCAGTGTTTTCGTGTGTTGTCTCTGTTGTTACCACCTATGTTTGCTGTCATGCCTGTCTCCGTTATTTACGTGTTTTCGTCGTTATGATTTCCTGCGTGCCAGTTTGTGTCTGGATTTTTCCCGCCTCTTTCTGCCCTTTTGTCACGTTCCTTTTCCGAACAAGCCGACCCTGCAGCCTAAAAATTGTGCTCGTGTCTTGCTCCGGCGTGTATCAGGTGTGTGGCGTTTTCCTGGTCTCATTTTCGAATGCTTTCCCACGTTTCTGTCGTCACTGCGCTGTGCCGCATGTTTCTTTGTCATCCTTGCTCGCTGCGCTGTCCCGTTTCTGTGCCCCCTCCATGCGTTTCGTTCGCCTATGAGTTGTTGGCGTCTTCGACTAGTTTTCTGCTCTTTCATAATTATCTGCTCTAGTCGTCCCACCCGTCGTTCGTACGCTGTCTCTGGCGCCGTTCATTTTCTCACCTTCTTTCCTTTTAAATCTGTCCTCGCTTCAGTCTCACCGAGTATCAGGTTTGCACTTTCCCGCCTTATTAAACCGTCTGCTTATGTCTTGTGTTTGTTTTATAAAGGTCACCAGAGAAATGGCCCTTGACTACGCTGTGGACCGCCGGGGTACCACAGCAAAGATCCTTAACCACGTGGAGAGAGTGAGGCCTTCTTCCTTTGCTTACTCACAGGCTCTTCCCGAGCCGTCATTTCTTCCGTCTCATCTCAAGCGCATCTTTCTCTGCCTTTTGCGGAGTTTTCTACCTTGCCATTCCTCTGCTATGTTTTCGCTCTCCGCTCTTGTTCTCTGCTCCTTTCGTGCCCGTTGTAATTCTAGCTCCCACTTTTCCTTTACGTTGTGTCTTCGTATGTGTGTAACCTCTTCGTTCTTTCTTGGACTCTCTCTGAGCTCTGTCTTTTGCCGTTTTTTCTCCATTTCGTCTCCTGCAGCCTTTGCTCGAGTCGTTTGGGCTCCTTTCCGGTTGTCTCTCTCTCACCTCCACTTTTCGTGTCTTTCGTCACCCTATCTTTCATAGTGAACGCAGCCAGCGAACACTATATGGACCAGCAAGTGCTGCATCTGTAACTGCAACGCAATCCATTTCCTGACTTGGAGTGTTTGTGTGTAGCACCTTTGTGTCTTTTATGGCTCTTGTGCTTTGCAGGGCCTTCGGTCCTGTATCATTACAGCTCAAGACTATGAGGCAATGGCCCAAATACGTTTATCAGCAGTAAGCAGCACTCATCTCCTCCGTCAGCTTCCCTTACTCCCCTCCACCACACTCTGCACATTGCATTTATTCCCTTTTTATCGCTTCAAGTTTCGCTTCATAGTAGCTGGTGTTTTTGTTTTCCAGGCGTCGCAATTCCTTGAGTCCTTATGTGTCCCCTGGCTATTTTCCTCAACTGGCCATGCTTTTCCTTTGTCTTCCTTTTCCTTCCGGATCTATCCTGTGTTGTCTTGTTTCCGTTTCTCTTTGGCCTCGCTGTCTCTGGCTGCATTGCCTCTTTCTTGTGACCTGCCTGTTCTTTATGTGTGGAGCTCAGTGTCTTCCGTTCGTATCACCGCTTTCTTACATTTTCGATATTTATCAGTTGCCTTTCCTTCTCCCATTCGTAAAATTTGTATGACGTTATCTGGTTTTGTCTTGTTGTCTTCAGAGCTTGTACCCTCCTGAGCGCCTACGTCTCGCTGAGGCGCGCTACTTCTTGTTGATGCAGCTCATCAGCAAAATATTCTGGAGAGCAGCTAACGACCCCCGTAGGCCTTCTGCCGATTCCTGTTTTTTTTCGCCTACCTTTGTGCTTTTTTCCTTCGAAATTTATCCCGCCGGATGCTATCGTATTAGCCTTACCCCGTCTTTCCACTTTACTGTTTCTGTCTTACCACCTACGTGTTTTCGCCTTTGTCTTTCTTCTGTCTTTCCCCTTAATGGTTCTGTCTACTGCCACTCTGTGTCTTGGCGTCTGTTTCTGTAGCCACGCTCTTTCTGGGCAAGCTTCTCTTGTTTCTGTGTGGTTTTCTATCTGTCCACTTGACGCTCATCTGCCGAGCATGTGATCGCTGTAGGCTTAGGAACGGCTTCTCGAAATGTGCTTAGTATGTACCCTGTCTGTCTTCTTTCTTCAGTTTTACTTGATTTGCGGCAAAGTCTGTCTAATTACGCATCGGCCTTGGAGGCGCGGCGACTAGCTGATCGTCAGGTTTGGCTTTTGAAGCAATCTCCCTCAGGAGCTACTTTGTGTCTTGCGGAGACACTTGTGGCGATTGTCTACTGCGCCATCATCGTAAGTTCATTTGGCTGTTTTGCCGTTCTTTCGCCGCCGGTGTCCGGTCACTTTTTTCCAGTCTGTTGTCTGTTTCGCCCCCTCTTTAACTAGATATTTAGCGTCGTTCTCCGTTTTTCTAGGTATATCTATCATATTTGCGTGTTTGTTTCTCCGTATTGTGAGGTGGTTTTGACTGTTATGGGTTGAGGTTTTAGCTTCCGGTCGAACACTCATTCCTCCTCCTTCGTTCAGTCCCGCATAACGATATTTCTTCCTCATTCATCTAACTGTCGTTCCTTTTTCCTGGGCCGTGTACAATCGACAGCGGGAATTTTCTGCTTTGTGCTTGCCGAATGCCGTCTCCTCGTCTTCTTTGCCGTTGCTCCTCAAAGTGTTCTTGATGTCACTCATCCGAGGCCTCATGAAGCTGTTTGCCTAAGTCAGCTGCTCTTCTGCTCGGCTCTCTCCCTCACGTTTCCTGTGGCGCCTTATTGTCGGTTGCAACTTCTGTGGTTTTGTCTTCATCTCTTTCTCGTCTCTGTCTCCCGCTGGTCACCCTCCAGCTGTTTGTGCGTAGCCGTATCTTTGCTTGTTGTAATTTTTATGCCTTCTCCGCCCTCTTCATGTTGTGTCTCCCTTGGGGCGGACTCTTTGTGAACAGACTGTATGTATGGACCTCCGCACATTTGCAGGGCTTACCGCTGCTGCCTCTTTGGGCGCCCCTTCGCGTAATAGCAAATGTATTGGCAGACAAACAAAGACGCAAGGTAAAGAAACATGCATGGTCACGTGGGATCCTGCCATTAATTCAGCGTTGCTCATTGAATTTCATTTCCCTGCGGCTGCGTCGCCCGTCCTCCTTTTTGACCTTTTTTTTACTTTCGCTGTCCCAGCTTCCCATTTATTGTACGCTTGTACGTATCTTTGTATGTGTCCGCCTTTTTTGGCTGTATTTGTTCGTGCACGTCTGTTTGCTTCTGTTTGTGCGTATGTCTACCTTCGTCTTACGAGTGTCCAGATCTTCGTTTGTCACAGAAGCGCCGCCCTCAACGGCGGTATTTGAGATTAAACCGAAAGCTGTTGTTTGTGGCTTTTGTTGTTTACCTTCTCCTGTCTTCCAGGCCTTGAGAGAGAGCCGCGTCAAACTGAAGGGCACAGATGTAGTGGCGAGCTACAAGGTGCTGGTGCTCCTAGTGCTTGTCCCTCTCTTCAATCTCATCTATGGTTTTCTCTTCGGGATCCTCTTCCTCAAGTAATACTCCCTAAAGCTTGCTAAAGCTTGGTCGCCATTTCTTTTGTCGTAGTATCTTTCCTTCGCCCGCCCCGCCGTCACCCTGTTTCTGCCCCAACTTTTTTTGTGTCTGAGTGTGCCTGCGCCTAACTTTAGCTCATTGTTCTCTATGTTTTGCTGTATGGCCTTGCCCCTGTGTGTCTGTGCGTATATTTCTCTGGGTGTCTGTCTCGTGTGTGTTGCTGTTTGTCGCCGTGAGCATATATTTGCGCTTCACTCCATTTACTCATTGCTGCCAAAGCCCTGGACGGACTTTCTCCTCAAGTTAACTATTTAAAGTAGATACAGTGAGTAGTGCTAAGTAGTCCAAGTGCATCTGTTCACGCGTTCATCGGTGCATTCAAGCTCGTCTTCTTTTCCATTTGCTTTCACTCAGTTTAATTGCTCTGTCAATGTGCAGCACTTGGCTTGAGTTGGTGCTTTCCATGGCAACGGGTGTCGTCGTGCTGCCCATCCTTTACTACTGTGAGGCGCCGACATTGGGCAGTTGTTGCTTCCGTCCCTTAGGTTGACGTTGCAGCTGCTGTTGGTGCCGCTGTAGTGCATGCTGTGCAGATGCTGATCTCGGCGCCCACCGTCTCCATATATCTTTCGGTTTCTTTCTTTCTGCCGTTGCTGCTACTGCTGCAGTCAGCATGCGTAAAGCGGAGAGGTTGTTGCCCCTATTGCAGCAATTACGGATCGTGACGATGGTGGTAGTGGGGAGTGTCAACATATGGAGACAGACAGACAAGGAGCTTATCACCCAGAGAATACTCATGCAAATCAAAGTCCGTTCATACGCCATAAAAGCACAAGCAAGCTCACAGCGGCATGCACAAGGGTACCTGCAAGTGCAGCACAAACGAAGGGCAACACAAATGCACATCACAGATAATACAAACACTAGCATTGCGTTGCGGGTAGATGTTCGGGTGCGTGCGCAGGTGCGTGACGTTGTGCATCAACTGGGACCGGCCGTTTCGTTGACTTTCTCGCAAGATATTCAGAGAGCCTTGCCTACGGTGCGCCTCTTGGCATATGTTGGCATTGCGTCCCCTACTTTCCTTCGTTTCTCCATGCGGTGTTGTCTTCGCGTCTTTAGTCTCCTTCGACCTTTTTTCGTCTCATCAGGTCTTCCGGGCATCACGTTGCAAGTTCGCAGAATGCGTTGCACTCTATGTCCTGTGCAGTGCCACAAGCGCCCTCTAAATCTTTGTTTTGTCTCATTTTGTGTGGCTTTTGCGCTCCGCGCGAAGATAGGAGCCCCGCAGGAGCTCTCCTTTCTTGTCTGCGTCCCTTGCCTACATGCTTCTTTTGTTTTGCACGGAATTTTTTGTTTGCGGCTAATGCCCAGGTGTTGTATTTTTTTTCGAGAAATGTTTAAAGCCCACACATGCATGCGGCTTGAATGTCCTTGCAGGTGTTGTTGGATGTTGACACAAAGCGACTGTTGCGGCTGCGTCGGCAGTTTGCACCTTTGCAGATGAAGATGCCTTACAGCGGCGCGACAGAAGTAATATAAATGCGTGTGGCCGTGTTCGTGTGTCTGTCTCCGTCTCTTCCGGCAGCATCAGCCTTCATTTGTCTTCCTTGTCTGCGTGTAATTCACCAGCGTCCCTTCACTCTCTGGTTGTTCGTCGTGCTCTATTTCCCTGCTTCACTGCGTACGTATCAGCTGTAGGTCTCAATTGGCATAGGCTCCGCTAGCCCCTTCCGTTGTCTGCTTTGCGCTTGGTTTCATGGGTCTTGTCTCCATGCCCCTTCCCAAGCCAGCAGAAGTTAATACTGCTGCTGCAGCAGCTGCGCAGCAGAAGCAATTACGAGCTGAGGAAAAGAGGCCCAAGGATGGCATCTTATCTTCTTTCATGCATACTTTATACGCCGGACAGCCAGTATTCTAGCTGCTTTAGTGGCAAGCAGCGCAGCTCAGCGAAGACCGCGACTGCAGCGACCCCATCTGGTAACCCTTGTTGTCATGGTGACAGCGTTCAATGCAGGAAACCATAAACTCATGTGCCTGACATCTGAATATTTGAAACGTGTTTCTGTTTTTGCGCCTCCCGCGGGTCTGGCTGGTGTTGCTGCTGTTACAGCTAGTTCGGCTTCCGCTGCTGGCGGTGCTGCTATTTCCCTGTCCCTTCAGCGGTTTGTTTTTGGAGAAACTGCATGACGCTGCTGCTGTTGCCGCTGCTTCTGCCCGCAATGGCTTTTTATTGTGTGAGGCGCTGCTGAAGCGCTGCCAGGGCTTGCTGTAGTGTTTCTAGCCGGGCCTGAAGCTTTTGCTTGACGGACGGGGGCGCGCGTTTGTCGTAGCTGCAGCCAATGCAGGAAAAAAGAACAGCAGCAGTAGCGGCAGGAATAAAGGTAGTGGCAGCAGACGTTTTACGGCCTGCGCAGCAGAACGCTGAGCTCTCCCCGGAAAATGGAAAGCACAGTGGCATGGCTAGGCTAGCGCAGCTACAGTTGCCGTTCTCTGCTGCTCCAGAGCTACTGTTGCTGGTGCGGTAGCTCTTGGAACTGTTAAAGTGCTAATTCGTAGCAAGACAAACGCTTACTCAGGTGCTGTGACGCGTCGTTCCAGGTCCTGCAGCTTCCGCTGCAGCGACAGCCGATGGCGGCAGTTGCCTTCGGCAGCCTTTTGTGTCCTGCGCGCACTTGGAGCACGACTGCTGCCGCCGCCTTCCCCAAAGGAGGCAGCGACCTCTAACTCCAGAGCGCGGTCCCCGCGAGAGTTGCTTCTGCTTCCAGGCAGCATCACGACTCGGGAGAGGAAAGAGCGTCGCCTAAATGGCATTAGATCATCTTCTTTCTTTTCCACCTGCTTGTTCTGATGTAGCTGCTGGTGCTCGAGGACTGAGATGGAGAAACTTTTCGAAGGAAGGTCACAGAGACCGGCCATTAGCGGCACTGCTTCCTTCAAGGATGTCAGCATTATTTCATCAGTGCAGCGCACAGAGACGGAGCAGCCCCCTCTGTTCCCTGTCTCACCGGCATCTTTGTTTAGCATTGCGCCGGCAGCGCAGCTGGCATCCCCTGCGTGGTGTGGCTGCTGTTGCTCAGATGGTTGCTGCTTCTGAGGCCTTTTGTTGGCCTCTTGCATGGCCCGTCTCACGGAAGCAACAGCAGTGCGAACCACTTGTACGGCGGTCTCTGCCTGTAGATCCCTGTAAGCTGCAAACAAAATACGTCCCTGAGATGCATCTCCTAAAATCGTAAGCAATTTCAGCAGCTGCAGATGAACACCCAAAAAGACTAGTGGCCAACGAGACGAATGCCGAGACGTTGAAAACAAGGAGGCAGAGAAACCAGAGGCGAATAAAAGGAAATGCAGAGGGAGCCTCTCCTGTGGGAAGCCGTTCGCGACATCCTTGACACAGAAAACGGCACAGCGCAGCGGCTGTTACAAAGCATGTGCACCCCCGATCTCACCTCCTGCTACCGGCCAGGCGCTGCACAACAGTGGCTGAAAGGCGCTTGCCGGAGCAAAGCTCTGTCCATTATTGTCGTAGCTGCCGCTCTTCTTGCCGCTGCCTCTGCCGTCAGCTTCAGACTTGGGGACAATGCTAAACAGCGCCAAGTAGATCGCTTCAGAAATGAACGGAGCAAATGGATGCAGTGCCCGCACAGTGTCGTGATATATACGCCCCAGCACTGCTGGCCACAGGCGCCCTCGCGCCCGCAATCTGTCTTCTTCCTCTTGCGGGTGCTGTTGCTGAATACGTTGCCGCTGCTGTTGCTCTGAGCTGCCGTGGTGAGATTTACACAGCGTGTCAGCCAGTTTCATTTCCGTCTGAGCAGCAGGCAGAATCCAGTCTGACAAGTCCTCCCAAAACTCCCAAAACCGCGCAGCGGCAGCAGCGACGTGCCCTCCTTGGAGATGTGAGTAGACATCATCGCACATCCGGCTAGTGCTGCTGCAGAGCGAATACAGGATAGCACAACAAACGGAAGGCAAATTGCTTCGCTGCGAGCACCAACCGTTGTAGCACGGTGCAGGCACAAGTTTCCCAGCTGCTTCCAACGGGAATGGCTGCGATAGCATCAATCGCGCATGCAGCAACACCCATGACTGAAGCTACGTTAGCAGCTATACTGAACAAAGGTGTGCGTTCATGTGCCGAAAAGTCAGGCACCTGAGAGCAGACCGCTGCGGCAGAGAAAGCCGAGCTGAGTAAGTGGAGGTACACCCCAGCCCTTGCGACGCTTCAGCCGCGCAGCTCTCGCAAGCCTGCAATCTTTCCCTTAACAGCTGTAGCAACCTTCGGAGCGCAAGGCAGCAAACAAGAAGTAGAGACATGCACACGCTGCAGGCTCCGAATTATCTAAGACGTACAGAGGCATTGGAGTAAGAAGGCGACCATAGCAGCACGCGACATATGCAGCACACGAAAATAAGAGCAGCGTCTAGAAACAAGCAAAGTGGCAAAAGCCACAGGGTAGGCGCTAATAAAGAGCTGCTACGAGCAACCGAAAGAGAGGCAACAACGGAAGGCAATAAATAACCTGAGAGTAGAGGAGAAACACCAGTTGGGGTTCATCGAGGCACCTGGCGCCATTCCATATCTTGGTGAGGCCCCTTGAAGCTCGCTGCACTTTACATGCGTCAATCGAAGACAGTCGACGGGCACCACAGCAAGCCAGTAAAGACATTCTGCGGCAGAGACGGCAAACAAGAGGAAAGAGATCGAAACGCGCAGGGATAAGCCCCAGCAGCACTCTGTAATGGAGCCCTTGCAGTAGATACGCTGTAAGTGTTTTTCTGCTGGAGCAGTGCCAAGTGGTTTTGAAAAAATTCAAGTGACTGTGCGGGTGGTGCCAAACCTGAGGGCGTCGGCCCCATACTGAGTGATCCACTGGTCCATTTGCGTCTTGGGCGCGTTCCCTTTAGACTTGCTAAGTTTGTGACCCCGCATATCTGTAAGGAGAGGATGCAGCACCACTCTTGACAAAGGCAGCACGCCGCACAAGGCTACAGACAGGAGCAGCTGTCGAGCCACCCAAAAGGGAAGAATGTCGTGCCCAGTCACCAAACATGAATAAGGGTAAAGGCGTGGGAACAAAAAACTAGAGGAGTTCTCAAGACCCTCCTGGAGTCGCTGCTGTTGCTTTTGATAATCAAACAATGCACTGTCCGCATGGGAGACGCGCCCGCTTTCCTGGGCTTTTGGATACTCTCGCTGCTGCTGCTTCAGCGGCTGCTGCTGCTGCTCTTGAGTCTGTTTTCCGGATGTAGCTGCCCCATAGCGTTTGGAAAATGTCTCCTCCGCGTGGAAGAGGGATGTGAGTGGCCACAAAGCGGAGGAAAACCACGTGTCCAGGACGTCTGTGTCCTCCAGGATTTCGAATTCTGTCGCGTGCTGCACGTGCTGCTGCATGTGCTGCTTTTGCTGCTGCCGTTGTTGCTGCCGAATAAAAGCGACAGCCTTGCGCCTCGCAGTGGCTTCGTCGAGTGCGGCCACCGCAAACTCCTTCCCTGTCGACGCATCCCCTGCTGCTCCTGGCCCCGGCCCTGCGTTTTGTGAGCAGCAGCAGGGGCCCAACTGAGGCAAAGATGCACGCGAAGCAGATGCTGCATCAAGTCCCTCTGTCTTTTGCAGTCCCGACTGTTGCTGCAGCTGTTCCTGCTCCTGCCTTTGCTGCAGTTCGTGAAGTGCAGCTGAGTATGCTTCGAAGAGGTTCGCTCTTATTTGGCTGCACGAAGAGCCACGTTTGCCCTTAGAAGTCCCCAGAGCTGCCTGCGAATGGCAGCGGTCGAGGACCCTTGCAGCTGCAACAATTCGCTGACAGAGAGGCACTTCCTGTTCCTGCTGTTGCTGCAGGTGCTGGTGCTGCTGCTGGTTCTTGAAGCGAACAAGGTATGCTGGGACAGGAACCCCCCACCAGCCTTGTCTGCTGATACACCAAGTGCGGTCTGACTGCAGCTGCTGCAGCAGCTCCGGGAAATACCGTCCTGGGATTACGTCAAGCCCATTTGCATCCGTGTATGTTGCGCTACTGCTCCCGTTGTTCGTGCTGCTGGCGCCCCTGCTGCTGCTGCTTTCGATTTCTTTGTTGGAGGCACTGGTTAGAGGAAGAGGTAAGGGCAAGGCAGTGCCAACGCCTTGTAACCATGTTGAGCTCGTGAAGTATGCGTCCTGCTGCACCTGCTGCTCGTGCGATTGCAAGGTTTTGTTCTGAGGTGAGCACAGGAGTTGAACAACACGGGGAGCAACGCGATCAGTAGCAAAGAACCATTGGGGCTTTGCCCTAGTGACTGTAGCTTGCCCATTCAAAGTGGAAACGAACTCACCCGGCTGTTGCCGGCTTAGGTGTACCTGCGCGCCCTCTGTCAGCAATAAGATAGCTAGCAGGGCTTTCTCTCTTGCAGCTTGCTGCTGTTGCTGCTGCTGTAGGCTCGTCCCCACAGCATGGCGAAGGGCTGCGGCGACGCATGCGGCCAGCTGTGCTCTTCCTGGGACGGCTTCCCACTGAAGAGCAGCAAACGCAGGAAGCAGGTCTCTCCGGTCGTTATTGGGCTGGATGCTGCTGCTGCTGCAGCCATTTGTACTGTGGCAGTTGGTGCTCGTACTGGCGTTGCTGCTGGTGCTGCTACTGCACGTGCAGTATGATATGTGATGACTGGCTGCTGCCACATGCGGATGTTTTCTATCTCCTCTTTCCTGCAGCAGCACAGGTACGCTGCGCTGCAGCAGCGGCACACAGACCTGTTTTCCTTTCAGCTGGTAGAAAATAGATGAGTCGTCTGTGACCGCAGCACACACTTGAAGAAAGTCTTGCAGAGATCCCACGGGAACCAGAAGACGCTGCAGCTCTTCTGTAGCATCGCAGCCTTTGCTGTTGCTGCTGCCGCTCCTGCGACTGTTGCTGCTACTACTGCTAGCTTTGCTGCAGCTGCTCCTAGTGATGATGCTAGCGTCGTCGTCGCTGCCGTTGCCACCGCTGCTACTGCTGCTGTTGGTGGCTGACGAGCCGTTACTAATAGGCAGCTCTACAAACAACCCTCCATCCCACTTAGCAGCCTGCAGCAAAGAAGTTAGCAGCTTTTCTTGGCACTCTTCACCTCCTTCGCTTTTCTGTTGTTGTTGCTGCCGCTGCTGCTGGTCAGTGAGATGGGTTTCCTTCACTTCTAACAGTTCGTTGGGAACAACGACTGTGAAGTGTCTGTGTTCTTTTCCCCTGAGGGCCTGCAGAGGGTGCAGCTGCCTCCTCAGGAGTCCGCTTTCATGCAGCAAGACAAAGGCTTGGCGAGTCAGCGAGACTGCAGCAGCAGAAACGGTGCAGCACGCACTCGCCCACCAGCAACCCAGGCCAAGGCTGCGCTGCTGCCGCTGGATGTGCGTCCAACAAATGCGCAGCCAACGCTGCAGCAGACCCAGCTGCTGCTCGCACTCACGGGTGCTGCAGCTGCATCTGCCGGAGTCATTGCTGCTGCTGCCGCGGCATTCCTGCATCAAACTGTTACTGCCAAGTCCTCGTAAAGATAATTCCCGCGTTTGCTGCGGCTCCCTCATGCACAGCTGCTGCCCGTACAGCTGCAACCCCCGCCCCTCAAGGAACGCGTTGCTGACGATGGAGCGGAGACAGTGACTGCAGCAGCGCGGGACATAAAGGCCTTTTTTTCTTCTTTTGCTGAGGTGCCTCTCAAGCAGAAGCTGTAGCCCCATGCCTGCGTGGTCCACCCCGGGGACCCAGAATGACCGCAGCACATGCTGCTGTAGCTTCTCCGACTGCTGTTTCTGCTGCTGCTTCCTCATCCACTCCTGTGGCGTCCCGTCCCACGGCTCCTCGCCTTTTTTCTGTTGCCTCTCTTCACTCTGTCGCTGCTGCAGCTGCTTCTGCTGCTGCTTCTGCTGCTTCTGCTGCTGGCCCAGCGGTGGGTGCGTGCTCGCTTCCCTCTGTCTTTGAAAACGAAACAAAACGTCTTCAATAGTCAAACTCATGAAGTGCCCCGCATGCAACGATCCAGTTAAGTTGGGGGGAGCCATGCAAAAAACCTTTACGCCCCCTGCGCACTCCTCTGTTGCTGCTCTTGGTGGTTCTGCTGCTTGTGCCTTTTCCGGTGCTGTTTCCTCCGTCAGTTTCATGGGTTCGAAGAGACTCTCAGACTCCCACCACTGCAGCAGCGTACTCTCCATCTCTGTAAACGGGAATATTGGATGCGCTTGCAGCGCGGCTCGTGCTGTTGCTGCAGCAGACATCCCCGTGCCCGTCGTGTCGATGTCGCTCCTGCTGCTGTCCAAGCTCGTTTCTCTAGGTTGGCCAGTGTTGCTTGAAGCAGCAGCAATGGGCTCACGTAGTCTGGGCTGTCCATTGTGATGAGTTCTCTGCCGTTTGAATAGTGCCGTTGGTAATGCTGCTATCGTCCCTTCTGCGGCACTTCGAGGCCGCTCTTGCTGGCGTGTGGGGTCGGAAGTAGCTCCAAGAAGGCCTTCAAGAGGGCAGCAGATCCAAGCAGCCCTCTGGTTGAAGCCACGTGGGAGAGTGCTGGAAGCTCGAGAGACGGTAAAGCTATTGAGCGCTAGCAGCGGTGGCAGCAGCAATAGCAGGTTAAAGCTGGGGCATGTCATGGGGAGTTGTCCCCAAGTGTGACTTCCGGTGGTACTATTCTTGCGGATGCTTGTACGGACTCTGCCGTTGTTGTTGTTGCTCCAAGTGTATATACTGCTGGTGCCAGCGCTGCCAGTCCAGCTGTTTTTACTTTATCTGCTTGTCGCATCCACCAACGCAAAGATCGGATCAGGTCTTCTCCCTAAATCTTTGGCAAGTAGTTTCAAGTGCTTTTCAAGGTTTCCAGAGACTAAAAACTCTAAGACATCTGTAGAAGTGCAACGAGGCTTGCGGGGACCCCAGCTGTAGATAGGGGCCCCTCCGAAGCTGCTGCTCTAGATCCCTCAGCTGATTCCTCGGAAAGCTATTTTCTTCTTTTAATACAAAAGTAAACGGAGGGAGTTCGGTGTTTCTGAGACTCCTCACCGGACAGTTCCTGGTCTCGCCTGGCCCCCGTTCTGCCAGCAAGGGCTCCCGCGGAGCACGATGACAGTGGACCCACACCCTGAGTTAGACTGAGGTAACCAACCTTTCCCCACAACAGTAGCATGAACGCCCAGTATACATTCTCCAAGTGGAAGTCTGTATCAATTGAATGGAGATTATATGCAGCGCTGCAGCTGCGGCAGCACTACCTACCAAGAGCAGCCCCGATGTCCGTATTCAGCAAAATGCGCGATGTATGCGACCATTCCCTCAGTTTCTGTTGTCTGACTGGGAATTTCACCAACACAAGTGCACCCACTGGTGGTGCCCACTGGACCTCCACCACTTCACAGCCACACAACAGCCAGTCTAACAAGCAGTCAGTCTCCTACAACAGGAATGGGCCGACTAGTTCCAGCACCTCACGGGGAGCCAGGCAACTGCCGGACAGTGCCTCAGCACGCATGGTCGGGACCGAAAGACTCGTCGTCAAAAGACCCGTCTACCTTCCGCTTGGAGCCTCTTTGTCCCTCATCTACAACCGTAAAGTACCAAGACAAACCCTGTCGAGTGGTCGGCCCACTTTTGCTAGCGCATGGACCCTCCAGCTGCTACTTTCATAGTTAGCTGTCTAACACGCATCTCTGCGCCAGTGCCAGCTAGCAACGCATGAAAGAAAAGGTGTCGTGGCGAGCGTCCAGGACGCCATGGAGCTAGCTACCTAGCTGCCCAGCTAGCTACGCAGCTAGCTAACCCGCTCGCTAGCTAATCCACTGTAGGCACAGCCTGGCAAAAGGCCTTCCCGGCCCAGGTCCGTGCAACATTGCTGATCTCGCCTGCTGGCGAGCTAGGTACGGGTGCTGAAAGAGCGATTCACAAAGTGTCCTCTTCGTAACTAGGGGGTTGGGGCCCCTGGTCTGCGCTACGGAGAATGTTCCCCTGGCCCAGTTTTACGGGCTCTAAATCTTCTAGAGACAGACCCTCCAGAAGTTCACTGATGTCTATGATAGGCCCCGATCCTGCGTCTGGCTCACTGTCAGACTGGGCACTGTCTCCCTCATCCCCCTCCCGCTCTTGCTGCTGCTCCTGCCGCGCTCTGTCATGCGCCTCAGCCAGTTTCCTCGCTTTGTTGGCTTCCCGTCGCTTCAGCCCCTGCTGCTGTTTGCTGCTGGTGCTGCTGCTGCCGACGCGTATCTTCGCTGCACCTGTCGCTTTGGTGTAGCTGATTCGCGGGTCCTTGTACAACAGTACTTGCTTCCGCAGCTCTGCATCGTCCTCAAGGTCCTTCCGGAACTCTTCCATATCTTCGTCTTCTGCTGCAGCAGCACCACGACGCTGAGAGGCCCCCCTTCTCTTCCGGCTGTGCATGCCGTGTACTCTGAGGGGAGTCCCCTCAGCGCTGCCCTCGGGCCCCTGAGGGGCCCCCACGACTTCCCCGTCTTCGTCTATTCCCGTGCCGTCCTCTTCATGCTTCTGCAGTGTCCGCAACACCCACTGCCTCCTTCCCGTCTTTCGGAAGGGGTAGTGTCTCTTCACAAGCATCACAGGCCAAGGGGCCCCAGCGAGACCTTCCTGCTGCCCACAGCCGCCGCTGCTGCTGCTGCTGCTGGTGGACCAGTGTAAGTCCCGATCTAGGCAGTCGTCAACGAAACCTGACAAATTGATTCGCTGCAAGTCATAGCCCGCAGCAAAGTCTCCTGCGTGTAACAAGGCCCCCAAATGGCTCACTGTCGTTAACGGTTCCCCTTCAGGAACGCCGCTGGCACTACAACGCAGCAGCTCAACCTCCACCAAATTGCTGCTGCCGCTGCTGCTGCTCTTCGTCGCTGAGTCAAGGGTCCGCCCAGTCCCCGCTCCTCCTGCTTCTGCACTTGTGTCTACTGTCATCGCATCGTCCCCCGCAGCAGCTTCCTGCTGCTGCTGCTGCTTGTTCTGCTGCCTCTGGTGTCTTCTTCCATGCTGCTGCTTCTGCTGCGGCTGCTTCTGCTGCGTTTGCTGCAGTGGTGTAACGGCAACAATAAGGAAGTGTGAGAGATGCTTGCGGGTACATATGGGTTTAAACGTGTCCCTGAAATAAACATCGGCAGCCATGTCGAGGTGCCTTCCAGAAAAAGGGTCCGTCAGGTGCAGTGTGGACGATACTCTTGTGCACAGCGAGAGCGAAGGAAAGCCCCCAAAGGAATCCTGGGCCTTCTTGGCGGGAATGTAGACCAAGTCGTCGCGGCAGATGGCAGGAAGCTCCACGTACACCGTGTGCTTGTAGAAATACGTGTTACTGTTGCAGTCGTGAGATATGAGCTGCTTGCTGCTGCGGCTGCTGCAAGGCAGCCTGCTGCTGCAAAAGGATACAAAAGATGCTGCCGCTTGTTTATTCGGAAAATAAAAATCCAGGCCATCTCTTCGCTGTACAACCCTCAGGAGCTTCTGCAGCAAGTGCTGCTGCTGCAGCAGGAGCTGCTCCAAGAATAAAAACGTCCGCTTGTGGTCGCAGCGTTGTCGCACCTGCACCCGCGCGCCCCAACCTGCATGCGGCGTGAAGGCCTGAAAAAACGGAAAGTAGTACATGGATGTGTTGGAAGAAACACTAAATGGCAGAGAACAACGCCAAATGAAAACGTAACGTAAAAGACAGAGGTCTCAAGTGCGCCTTTCTTTCAAAAGAACTGCTGCAGGAGCCGCTGTCACCGCTGCCCCATGCTAGCGCCTAAGCTCTCAATCCGTTTCCACATCCCCGCAACTGCCTAGTAGGCAGTATTTTGAGCACTGCGATCATATTCATTCTAAGGCCCAGAAATTTTAAGCTCTTAAGGCGCAGAAGAAAGAAACCTTAGCCGCTTTGGATCCAGTCGGTCTAGCTAATCCTAGTACCAGTTTTCCCCAACGCAACAATGTACAACGGACCTCACGCGCTTAGTCCGCAGGGTCTCTCCTTAAACCTAATCTAACTGTCTGAATAAGCTACGAGAGAGAGAATCAGCTGGAGGGCGGCGACGGCGTAGAGACAAGCAGTGAATACTCCGTGCAGTCTTTGAGATCAAGCTTTTGTGCGCTTGCTTGGGGCTGCTGACCTGCTTGCATTCGTCGCATTGCATGTTGTGAACTAGCCCCGAAACATTGAATGACTGTTCTACCTCCGCCTTGCCCTCTAGCACGTCCGCTCTTGCGGTGAGACGCAGCAACAATTTGTTGCTGTGTGGCTCCGAGTAGAGCCAGCGGCAGTCCGATATGCGGGAGAGGCTCTTCAGGCCGCGAATTCGCTTGAGGCAAAGAGCTAGGAGCTCCCTGAGTTCAAAGGAAGCAGCAACAGCAGCACCAGCGCCGTAACCACAAAAAACAGCGCAGACTAACGCAGCAGTAGTGGCAGCACGACACGCATAACACGACAAGCATAAAGCGCAGTAGCGCGTGTACATTTAAGAGCAGCTCGGAGGCAGCCAGCGGGGAGAAAAGGAGGTGCAGAAGTCACACAATCCCATCTAAGGAGCCAGTCCTCCACGCAGCAGCTGGTGTGTGCGCTAAGGTTGAGGTGTACGCTGAGATCATGAGCAGATACACATACCGCGACTCAAGCTCACAAGACAGCCATTTGCCTTGGCTATCTTTGAAGCGGCCGCACTGTCTGCATCTGTCTACGACGAAGGTGCGACAGACTCTGCTGCTCAGGTCAATTTCGTCTTGGAGGCATGACAAACACTTATTGCGCGGGTGGGGGGGAGTCACAGCTCCACAGATGCAGCATAGCACGTGGCCCACGCCGACCGAGGGCCCCGCCATTGCCACAGCGAAGGCGCCAAGCGAGGCCGCACACAACGTGGGCTGTATGAGCAGCTCGGCAAGGGAAAATAATCAGAAAACGCCGCAGCACTCATTCAATCCTGTGGCAGCTGCTGCAGCTGCGGCAGAAGCAGCAATGGATGCGGTTGAAGCTGCAGCGGCGAGAAAGCAACTGCAGTGGCGCTGGTGCCACAGCCGCTGCAGCAGAGAGAAACGTCAAATCACTGCAGAGTCTAGCTTTTCCCCAGTCAACTGTCAACGAACAAGAGTGGGAGCAACACGGGCGAGCTCCAAAGTGGCAAGGGTTTACAAACACGGGGAAATGGCAAGGGTAATGAGACTCTTTCATGTAGCAGCTGTGTTGATCATTTTGCTTCTCAATTGCAACAGAAGAAAATTTGGAAAACAAACTAGTGGACAGCATGCAACGTCGAGAAGGCTCTTCTAAATGGCCCCACACCCAATATACGCAGTCCCAAAGGCGGGCCCGCGCATGCGAAGAAAAGGAAAGAATAACAGAGGCTTTGTACGTAGTGGAAAAAGATAGTAATAGAACAGACAAGAAGATCCAGCAAAAGGCGAAAGCAACTCTGATGTTGGTTTGGAGATGAATGGTGATTCCACTGCTTTTCAGTGTGGATGCTCTTTGTGTGGACCTCAACATGCTCTCGGCTACTCTTCGGGGAAAATGCGATGAGCTAAGCAGGGCTTCCAGAACAATAGAGCCCGTTTCACCAAGCAGCGTAGGTCGATGAAATGGCTTCGTTGCTGCCTTCCTGTGCGTAGCACGCATGTAATCTAAGCGCTCAGAGACTACGGCAGTGGATGCTTTGCTCTGAGGAGCTAGCCACTTTAGAGTTCTGCTGTACACATCTACTTTATCACAATCTGGGAACTAAGCTACACAGCCTACTGCCACGTTGTCACAGTGATTACAGTAGCATACTCTGCAACACTGTATCAGCCTCCATGGATTCCTTGATTCTGAAAGAATGCCACGTTCACTTTGTCTTCCATCAAATTTGTAAAGTTGTGCAGTTTCAAAAATGATTCGAAGCGCCCCATATATGGCGATCATTTGACCTTGTGCAGTCGCTTGGGCGCTTAGTTGTGGACATTCCTTTTTTACTTATTGCAGTGAGGTTTCCAGTCGTCTGGCCAGTTCGGAGCTTCTTTGCAGGCGATACTGAGTTGTCCAACTCACCAAAGCCTCCAAATCCAGAGAGAGTATTGTTCCAGTCGTCCGGCCGGCTGGGAGCCCCTTTGTGGGCAATACTGGGTTGTCCAGCCCAGCAAAGCCTCCAAGTCCAGAGAAAGTAGTGTACTTTCAAGGTTAAGTGAGACAAAGGTCCGTAATGTACCACAGACCTGATGGGGCAAAGTGGAGACGAAATGGTGAGGTCAACTGCAAACTCACCTCACAAGGAGCTTCAGTCAGCACAGGCTAAAAGCTCGTTGTGTATTTTCGTCTAGTGATCTCCTTTCCAGACAGCCACGCCAGTTATATCAAAATTTGATCAGTCTCAAAGCGGCTGAACCGGTGTCGTACAGGATGCCACCCTCATAAAAAGGGCTGCACTTCACAGCTTCAGAGTAAAGCTTTCTAGTTCCCTGGGTTTAAAATTTGGGCATTTGCAAATATGGGCAAGGGGATCGCTGGTCCATGAGTAATAAACACTCAGTTTGCATTTTCTCGGCTGAGCTGAGTTGGAAAACAAGCACCAATTGCTCTAATGGCAGCCGAAATTCACATTATCACACCGTTGCGCGCGGAGTGTGGTTTTCCACGAAACTTCGGCCACGAGTTTCAAAGACATGAATTGCAGCTTACTGCAAAGTGTTTATTGTC